TTAGTTAGACAATGCAAGAAAGATCTTGTCGAGGCTGGGTCGCCTGTCTGACATTACCCTTGTTTGGGTCCCTGCACATAGGAACTATTATGGAAATGAACAGACAGATGAGTTTAACAAAAACGCGATATCTTCCACGCCGTTCCAGTAGCAACCTCGTTAGGTTTTATCAAGAGTAATATCCTCAGATTCTACCTTCGAAAGACTGAAAATAGTTGGAATAACCTAGACACATGTAAATAAGCACTACACTCTTTATAAACCGAAGTAGACGGGATATATAGAGCTTGATAGCTGTAATAACAGGACACTGGGTGCAAGGCAGATATGCAAGATGGTTTGGGCTACCCTTCAATGAACACTGTCGCAGTTGCAAAGACAGGGAAAAGAAAGAAACGGTCATCCATCTCCTCTGCGAATGTCCTACCGTTTTATTGGCACTTACTTCATATCTAAGCTGGATCTAAGCTTAATGATATCCTGAAATCCACTGCTACAGGCTGGATCTAATACTATACAATACTACAGCTAACGAGTAGTAAATTACAGACCGTTCCGGTAAAACTTTTGCCTAATAATTCGTGTCCCGATATGGTGATTTGTTCATGAATTATGTTCATTAAATTAAGTGAAACTTTGTGGTGCTAAGATCAATTACACTGTACCACACTAAAACATATAACCATATACTGGCACTACTACGTGATAAAAGACCAGAAAGATACCGCGTCTCCCAGTTTTGACCAAAGTCACTGTTTTTATAGGCCCCCACATATTTGGGAACTCTGTGTAAAATTTGATTTTTACGTGTTTAAAAATATTTATTTAGTGCTTCACTAAATTAGGCGTATATGTAATATTTGTAATATCAATAAATTATTAACACGTATACGTACAGGTGTCGTTAATGAAAGCAATTTCACATGATATTAAAAAATTAAGACGATTTTGAAATTATTGGAGATTTGGATCTCGCAGTTTTTTAAAAAGTGAATCCAACATACATACGGGCACATCTTTCCATTTTTCTAAACTTGTTCACCGATCGTACAATTAACTTTCAATTCTAACATTAGTCTATTTTTTAATTTTTGCAAAATTATAAATAAAAATTGTAAATCAAAAAAACATCATCTTCAAGATCCAAATAGCATAAACTTAAAAAAATTTGATTTTTTACGTGTTTAAAAATAATTACTTAGTGCTTCACTAAATTAGGCGTATACGTAATATTTGTAATGTCAATAAATTATTAACACGTATACGTACAGGTGTCGTTAATAAAAGCAGTACAATTTCACATGAAATTAAAAAATTAAGACGATTTTGAAATCATTTGAGATTTGGATCTCGCAGTTTTTTAAAAAGTGAATCCAACATACATACGGGCACATCTTTCCATTTTTCGAAACTTGTTCACCTATCGTACAATTAACTTTCGAATCTAACATTGGATTAGAAATGTTTCTTCAATTGAAAAGTCAAACATTTATAGAATTTTAAAACTATCTAAAAAATACACCCTTTATAATATTACATTTTACAACTCGATATTTTTATCTACATCATCAACAAAATGAGTTGTGTATTACTTTTCAACATACTTAAAAGAAAATAATTATTTAAAGATCAGAAGCGAAATATACTGCAATGCGACTTAAAGTAACTAAAAACTCTAAGGCCTATTTTTACTTAACATGCATACATACACACACATCCAGAATAAAACGGGAACTAGAAGATACAACAGAAAACAAAAACAAAAGAATTAGGAGAAAAAAAAAACATATGACAGAAATATTTTGACATTTTAATATTTTACAACCAAAAGTGCTTGAACTGTAACAAATCAACAACCAACTAGTACGACGACGATCTAACCATCCAGAATAAAAATACAAACATATAAACACAAATTGGAAATATGATGCTGCCAAATGGTAAAAACACTTGTGGAAGCTAAATGTTTGTTAGAAAAAGAAAATGAATAAGAGAAATAAAACAAAATACATGTAACACATAGAATTATCTAAACATTCACACTAGAACACCAGCCAACCGACAAACACTTAAACACTCGCAGTTAAACCAAAAAAAAATTCTCAAAGTTTAACATTAAGGTCTCAAATGTTAGAAATATTTATTTACAGATTTTTTTTTTTTTTGTTTTTTTGTATGTGTGAGTGTTTTTTTTTTTTTTTTTTGTTTGCTCTCTTTGTTATGGAGGAAATGGAAAGGAAAATATATAGATTTTTTCACTTTAATTATTATTTCTTCTTTATACAAACAAAATATTCCTTTGTGTGTATTTAGGCGCTTTGAAAATTGTTTTTATATTCATTTGCTCATAGACAAATAAACATATGGGTTTTTGGTTAAATAATGCGTCTGTTGCATTAATTTGAAAGCATATTATGTGTATGAATTCATTTCATATAGTTAGAGCAAAGAGAACTAACAATTATTTTTCATTTAACAACAGTTGTTGTTCTACAATGTGTCAAATTTTAAGCTTGAGTTGTTATATTAATTATTAGAGCCTTTTTAATAGATGCATTTATTTAAAATATTGTACATAATTTTTTTTGTAAAAGAGTTAAAAGAAATGTCATGAATGTCTGCAGAAGAAGATGCAATTTTCCCAAAATATTTTCTTTTGATCACAAATATTTGGCATAGATGGTAAAGAGATTCATTTAAACTTGTTTATGTTGACTTTCGTTAAATTACTGGAATTTTGAGGCGAGTTATGAGCTTTAAAGTAACTTTTTGAGAGGAACATTATATGGGAGGTAGGGTCAATTATTGGCCGATCTCTATAAAATTTGGCAGAAAGATTTTAGTTCCCCTAAATCTTGTTTATGTCGAATTTCGCTGCTTTGCAATAATTTTGAAGCAAGTTATGATCGTTAAAGTCGTTTTCTGAGTTGGACTTTATATGGGGGGGTAGAGTAAATTATAGACCGATCCTCATAGAGAGGTTTTGGTTCATATAAAACGTATTTATGTGGAAATTTATTGACATACTGATGTTTTCAAACCAGCTATGACTGTTTACACTTTTTTTCGCGGAGACACTTGTTTGAGGGCTATGCGAAAACATGGACCGATATGGAATATTTTAAACACCAAACAAAATGCATCAATAAAAAATATTTGTCCAAAATTTCAACTCCTTAGCTTTTCTCGTTTGGACTCCATCGTGCTTTCAATAGACAGACGAACGGACATGGCTAGATCGCCTTAGAATGTGATAAGGACCCAGAATATATATATTTTTGTTGGTTTATGACCAATATTTCGATTTTTTACAATATAAACCCCATCTTTTCTTGATGGCCTACGGCCGCACGCAATAATATTATTCTTTATAATATCTCCAACCTCGCCTTCGCTTAGTATAGATTTTCTAAATAGCCGGCCTACAATTGCGCGAAAGGTATGGTATGTCCAACAATTGCTTCGTTTAGTAAATATTTCCTAAACAAACGGCCTGCGGCCCGTAGCGAATAGTGAATTCATAGTGAAGCCGGTATTCCATATACCCCAGAGGAAAGAATCCCTTCAACCGGCCGAAGCCCTGCTATCACTATTTTAAATGTGAAATAGTGCCCCAAAATATGAATTAAGTCCCCAAATTTCGTTATTGTTGCTATCTGAACAAATTTTTGGGGAGTTCGGTTCGGAGTCATTTTATGACGCCGTTCACCTATTTTATTTTTTTATCTAAAATTTAAATAAAATTTAAAAAAATATATAAATATTTTTTGTTTAATATTATTAACTAAATGGAAATTATATGATAATGTTAGGAATCACAATTTTAAGAAAATGATGATTTCCTGGATGTTCCCTATCAAATTAAGATCCAGTGCTTAAATTGCGATTTTTCTGTTTCTGTAGAAAAAAATATTTGTAAGATTTAAGATTATAAAATTTTTAAAGCTCTTTTATTCCCAGCAGAAAAGGAGTAATGGCTTGTACTTACATAACCACTTATTTTTCAATGACTACTACATACCGTCTGTATTACTTTTAAGTACACTTATAATAACTAACATATAATCAAATACGTAAGTACTTTATTTTTAGTTTTTCCGCGCCCTAGCAACTGTTTTTTACCCACAAAGAAAGAATTGTTTCCTGTGTTAAAACCATTATCTGGCGCACAATAAAGTGGTGTTGTGAATAAGACAGCGACTTTTTAACACCTTATTTGTAAGTACTTATTTAAGTAGCGATTTTTAAGCGAGCATAATAAGTACTTGCCTTCAGTATCATCATTGTGTTGAAATAATGAATTAAAATACTAATGAATAAGTAGTGAAAAGCGATATTTTTGTTTTTAACTCTTTTTTAAACTTTTCAATGCAAGTTTTTGCTAAGTTACTAGTGTTTAAACACTTAATATTCATTTATTGATATTTTTTAATAAAATCAAAGTTTGACTAACTGTAATTAAGAATTTCATTACTAAACTTTAATCCTATCGTTTCAAAAAATCAATTTAACTTTATGTCATAGAGACATTAAATTTTACATTTACATTACTAACTTTGTTGTCAATATTTCATATGTACAATAAATACAAAGTACATACATACAGAAAAATAAAGAAAATAAAAAACAATAATGTAAATAGTTTTAATTACAGTTTGAGACACAACTCACCTGTTTTTTTGTTGAAGAACTTTTACTTTCGATGAACTGTGATTTTTGTTTTGTTTTCTTCTGTTTTTATTTTTAGTTTCTTTTTTCTTTCTTGCAGGTGTGATATTCTTTTTTGTTTTTTTTTTTTTATTTGTTAAAAATGTAAATTGCTTTAATTGTTGTTTTTTGTTTTCTTATATTTTATTGTTTTTAAATATAGTATATTTGTTATATTTCTATTAAATTCAAAGTTATTCATATGTATTTGGATGCAACTACATAGTTTTTACTTTTAATTTATAATTTAAATTATTTTTGTTTATAGTACTTATCTGTAATTTTTGTTTTTCGTAATACTAATTTTTGTTGCTTTTGTTTTTCTAAAAGGAAATAAAATATACATATAATTTATTAAAATAAAATTCATACAAAAAATCGTATGCGATTAAAAATTAACAGAAATATTTAAAATAAAAATAATTTATTGTGTATTAAAATTACACTTTATTCTCAAAATGTACTATTACTAAATGAAATTTCTGCATTTTTTTGCTTAAATTAAGCTTGTATGCATAATTACTGAGTTGATAACAAGATTGATTTTATTATTAAAATAATGCCAATTTTGAAATAGTTAATACCAAACCATTCAATAAATCTTTTATTAATTTGAGCCTGATTCCTACTTGATTTCAGAATTCAGAACATTTTAGAAAATATTTTATACCAAATAAAATTATTGTGTTTTTTTCAAAAATTTTATTCTTGAATTAAGATCGACTCGTACTTGATTTGAGAACAGTTGAATACTTATTGCAAATACATATCGCCCATTTACTACAGGATTGGCATAATCCAAAATTCTGGTTTTTTGAACTTAGTGCTAGAGATTTTCAGACTCAGTTCAAGAATAACTGCGCTTGATTATGAAATAAATAACTTATAGAAGGTGATTCTTGACAAATTTTTAAGAAATATTATAAAATCGTTATAAATACAATATATATAATATATGTCTGAAACTATAAATTTAATGGTGAATAACTGCGTTGTTAGTTTTTCATTACGTGATTCTACGTCCTTTTTAAAGGACTTCAAAGTTTTAAAAAGAACATGTTTTAAAAAATATTTTAAAATAATTCTACTGATCAAACAATGTCAACTTTGATGTCAAGAGAACAAAAAGACTTGCAATATATTTTGTAAAATTTTTATTTTATACTGTCAGGATAAAAAGATGACAAAAATGTATTTTAAAATTTGTATCCTTTAATATCTGTTAAGAGTTTCAATTTTATTTTTTCCCAAAAATTTTGAAAGACATTTTTTACATCTTTTGAACCTGGCAGAAAAAAATAAAAATAACATAAAATATTTTACAACTCTTCTTGTTTGCATGACATCAATTTTGGCTTTGCTTGATCAGTAGAAGTATTTTTAAATATTTCTTGAAAAATGCACTTTTTAAAACTTTTAAGTCTTTTAAAATAGACACAGGATCACGAAATGAAAAACTAAAAACGCAGTTTTTCTCCATGAAATTTCTAGTTTCAGACATATATCATCCGCTTCGTGTCTAATTTTGAGTGTCGGACGGTGTTTTTGGAAGAGATCTTCTATTGGTCTATCCAAATCTACTTAGAAACTTTTGTAGTATTATGGGGAACAATTATGGATTATAATTCAAATATTCTACATTTTGGTATTTACCCGCTTATTCACAAACAAAATGTTTATTTTATAAAAGGTTTATAAATTAGATTTTGTATGGAAATTTTGTTTTATAAACCTTTTATAAAATAAAAATTTTGTTTTTGAATAAGGGGGTTAATATATAATTAATTTTTGTTACACTGTCCTACAATATATTACTAAATAAATTTCGATTACACTAGTTTACAAATTGATCGCTGATTCCGAATCTGAATCAGATTTTCTTCACCACATCCAGAATTTGAGATAACGTGTTCTTAAATTTTGAAGACACTCCATTTTAGGCCTCTTTAGGAGTTTTTTAGACAGCGCCAAAACAACTTGATTTAGAAAATTTTATATATTATCTGAAAGACAATTCTGTCAACTTTAATATTAATGCTTAATATCTGACATATCTTTTTTGTTCTTCGAGATATCTTCACTTAAAACTCACGGATTTTAGTAAGAACAAAAATACTGGATCCACACTAATCTGAAGATATTCCAATCGACTCCAAATCACCTTTTGATTCGACTTAACGATGTCTGTCCATCCGACTTCAATTTCAACGGATGATATCTCAGCAACTACAGCAGATTTTCAAACAATACCAAAAGTAATTTCATAGGAAAAATTATGAAAAATCGGTGGAATGAACGAAAAATGCCGTTCTTGTCAATTTATTGTTATATCAAGATTTAGGTAAAGATATCTCGAAGAAGAGAGAAGATATGAAGCCTTTATTTTAAATTGATAGAATGAACTTTCAGACGACATACAACATTTTATAAATAAAGTTGTCATGGAGCTGTCATAACGTCTCAAAAAGGGCCAAAAAATGGGTTTGTTTAAATTTCAGGACACAATATCCCAAAAGTGGTCGAAAAATTCTGAGGTCAGATTCAAATTTAGCGTGACTTCATCCTTTAGAAAAATATACTTTGGTCTCTGTATTAAAAATTTGTCGACCTGTGTTATATGTATAAAAGTTAGGTCTTCTTGAACACACTTTTTACCACATTTTTTTATTTTTTCCTCATTTTTAGTAAATTTATTTGATACGTCTTTTTTTAAATTAATTTCGAAAATATTATTGACAAATTATTCCAGAATTATAAACTTACGAATCTGAGTTTATGGCTCATTATTAATTTTTTACATTCTCATCTATATTTTTTCCAAAAAATTCTTGAAAGTATGAGTGATAAACGTGACATCTATTCAACATGATTTAAGATTATTTCAAAGAAATTTTCAATATTTTTATGACGTGAAACCATTGTTAAATTGTAATGAGGAGGATCTAAAAATTGTTTTAAATAAAAAATAACTAAAACTCTGAAAATTTATTTTTTTTTCCTCCTAATTTAACCTTGACTTTCTAGATTTTTTCCAATATTTTTTCTATAAATACTCCTCGTGAAGGAGAAAGGTATAAATTATAATTAAAATATATTTGAACTATTAAAGACATTATTTTCATACTAACAAAAATTGAAATGTTTGGTGCAGTAACATAACTTTGAGAACTAATTTTTAATATAATTATTTTTTCGTAATGAAAATAAATTAATAAATATTTTTATAAATTTTAAAAAATTTTTAAAGCTTTGAATTTATCTTATTTTTATTTAAAGGATTATTCACTTACGGCAACAATCAATGGTTTTCAAATGGTGCAGTTTTCTTAAAAAATATTTATTTCATCAATATTTTTGAATAAAAATTTATTAAACTAAATTTAAAATTAATTATTGCTATAAAGTATTATATTTTGTAGTAAAAGCACTTGTTATTATTAAAAATTAAGTTTAAATTTTATTTAAAAATTTACTTTATAAACTTTAAAAAACTTCTAACTTTAAGAAACACGCACATTTATTTAAAAGAAGTTGTTAATGATTATCTGGATAATGTAAAAAAGTTGCGTAAAATACAACAACATTCATAATAATAGAAACACATTGCTGTTATAAAACACGTATTTAAAAAAAATTTTACTAAGACGTATGATTAATATTAGTTTCTATATTTAGCAAATATGTAATTAGATAAAAATTTAAGTTAAACTATTTATTATTTTGATTTGTGGCTTATTTATTTATTAGAAATAAAAATTATTTGAACAATTTTTATTATTGAAATATTATTACGACGTTGCACCGCCACATGACGTATAGTATGTGTGTGATAACTGTTACACGTACTGTATACGAATGTAACTGTTATCAGCAATTGTCAGTGCATTTATGTAAAATATTAACATATATTAAACATTAACAGTATTACTGTTAACGTTTAACAGTTAAATGTAAAGTAGTTGTTTTATGTACAAGTGAGTGTGTGTGTGTGTGAGTGTTTTTATGCCCTTTGAGACACACACACACATACTTACTCACTCAGAGACACATAAAAGTGCATGTTTATGTGTGTTTATATCAAAGGAATTATTTCAAAGGAATATAACAGCAACAACAAAAATAATAATGGCATAAAAACATGAGCCAAAGCCATAAAATAAACAATAAAAACTAGAAAAAAATGAACGAATTAAACACACACATACACAAGCTTACAGAGCCGTTTTGTTTTTGTTAAGATAGTTAAGAAAGAAGAAGTTTTATATAGAAAAAAATATAAAGAAATTGTTTTATGTGTACATTTAATATTATTAATATTATTTTTATAAAATCACCTATTTTTTATAAATTTTTCCTCTATCTCAATTTTTTTTTAATTATGTTTAGATTTCTGTTAACACTTTTGTTTCTTAACTTAAATTCCGGCTGCTGTTGTTATTGTTTTAGGAATTATTTGTTACTTTTTTCACTACATAAACACTTTAGCACAGTTTTTTTATTTCCTTTTTTTTGGTTTATTTAAAGAACTTAAAACAAAATTTATTTCAAAACTAGCTATAACATAAAACACACTGATTTTCAAATTTATACACGGCTTTTTTATTTAATTTTACTTTTTTCCTCTTTTGTTGCAATTTTATCGGCCTGCTATTATTGTTGCAGTCGTACTTTCTTTTTAGTTTCTTTACGAAATGTGTTAGTTAGTTGGTTATATTTTTTTATTTCCTTTTTATAAATGTGTAGATTATTACAACAAAAAAATGTTCCATTAGGAAGAGAAAAAAAATTAAAAAATTTTCTTGTTTTGTAAAACTGAAAAGCAGTTGGAGAAAAACTGCACAAAAAACGTCCTTTCACACGGAAGCTTCGTAAACAACTGAAATTGAAAAATTGCATTTGTTAAAGCCGAAACGGGCGACCGACAAACGGCAAGAAGAAAATAAACACACTTCAACAGACACATACACTAACAGCCAAAGGACTTGTCTAGTTGTTATATGCACATTTCTTTTTTTTTTTTTTGATACCCCCTTCTACTCTGCCAACCCACTACTACTTTTGCATATTTCTGTTGTTTTTGTAGTTCTGATAGGTTTTTATGAGGCCCTGCCTCTGTAGTAAACAGTACAGAGAATAATTTTACACAATTCACTACAGAGTCATACAGTCAGTCTGTCCGTCTGTCAGTTAGGCCAGCAAGCAAGGCAGACTTGCACAGTTTGCAGTTTGTACTCTTTTGACTCAAAACATGCAATCACAATATACTCACACACTTGTTAGTTGCGGCTACATTTTATTTGTTATTGTAATTGTTGTAGCTGCTGGTTAAACTCAGTCAACAGCAGCAGCCTTTGCTACTGCATATAAGTTTTATGGGCTTTTTTTTTGTGAAACTCACTTGCATACTCTGCTAAACTGTCTGTGTAACTGCATTTGTGTGTAAAACCAAAAAATTGAAAAATAAATAAAACTCTCACACGTGTACACATACAGACTCATTTTTCACAAAATGTTCTCTTACCAAAAAGCAAAAAATGTCCTTATATGTATGTATGAGTGTGCCCGTGTGCATGTTATGTAAATTTTGTTGTTGTTGTTTATGGCGAACAGGAGTTTCTGGAACAAACTTATTTTTTTGTGTTAACATTCGTTTACTTGCTAGCTGCTTCGTTCATTTACTCGTTTATTAATTCGGTTTTATGTTTATTTATTGTTGTTAAGAGCATCGTTTGTTTGTTTTTGTTTTCAAATATTCTAAAAATAAAATTCTCCTTAGCAGTCATTTCCTCTACAACCCCAATTTGTTTAGTTATTTTGGTTAAGTGCCAAAAAAATGTGGCCATTACTTTGCAGTTAATATTTTTATACTAAATGTCAAACAGAAATGTACTTTTATAGCCTAAATAAAAACTCTTAAAAATTTATAAAAACTTACTCTCTTTAGCAAAAAAAAAATTACCTATAAATGTTATTAAGCAAATATCTAAAATTAATATAAACAAAAATAACAAAAGTATCCTTTAAAGTTCATTATTATGTAAACAACATCTTCTAGAAATTTTACAAAAAAACCGCCTTTTTGTCTTTATAGTGCCATAGTTCTTTTTTTAACTTTTATTAAATTTTACTCTTTCTCTGTTTTTATATATAATATCCTTAATGTTATCTCTCTTGTCTACTGTTAGGTTTTATATTCAAGAGAAGGACTAAAAGAGAGCCAGTTAGTTTGTTGACTGTTGACATTTTTGCATTTGCTATTTTTATAATTTTGTCTATTTACTTGTTTTTCAATAATCCTTAGAACTTTTTATATTGTGTGTACGTTTTAGGCCATATTTTGGTAAAGTGCCAAATATATTTACTTTATGGTCTCTTTTTTGGTTCAGTTTAGTATATTTTTTTTTCTTTTAATATTTTCTTTTATAGTCTATGTTTAATTTTTTGCCGTTTTAATCCTAGTTACTTTATAAGGTGACCACCTTTTGAGAACTCCGAGTTTGTATGTGCCTCTAGAATTATACCTTAAGTTATTAAAAAAAAACATTAACTATATGTACACTCACAAAAAGAATTGAGTAATCCGTAATCAAATCAATCAGGAGCGGTTTCAGAATACTTTAAGTATGGTTTTTCTTAAATCAAAATATTTGTGTCAAGTATGGATCCGTTAAGTACGCAAAACCTTTATCATTATCGTACCAATTACAATGTCTTATAAAGGCATTAGCATTGCGACAGATATTTCTAACAATTCTTCCACAGGCTTGGGGGGTAACGACGACATATTCAATTACAATTACATTTGAAGTAATTGTATTTGAAGCTTTACCAATTACAATTACTAGTAATTGAAGTTTTGTCCATTAAAATTACTTGTAAGGCTTGGGGGTAATGACTACATTTTCAATTACATTTAAAGTAATTCTAATTGAAGCTTTACCAATTACAATTAGTTGTAATTGTAATTGAAGTTTTGCCAATTACAATTACTTGTAATTGAATTTTTAACAATTACAGTTACTTGTAACGGTTATTGAAGTTTTGCCAATTACAATTACTTGTAATTGTAATTGAAGAATTTCCAATTACAATTACTTGTAATTGTGAATTTTGTTCCTTATAATTACATTTAATTTGTAATTAGTAATACCCTAATGACAATTACAAGTAATTTTAATTGGAAACTTCAATTATAATTACAAGTAATTGTAATTGGCAAAACTTCAATTACAAATACAAGTAATTCTAATTGGTTATTTGGTCAATTACACATTACTAGTAATTGTAATTGGAAAAACTTCAATTACAATTACATATAATTGTAATTGGTTATTGCTTAATTACACATTACAAGTAATTGTAATTGACCATATAATGAACTACTTTGTGAAATCATTACCCCCATACAATTACACAATTTAATTACTTGTTATTGAAGTTTTACCAATTACAATTATTTGTAATTGTAATTGAAGTTTTGTCCATTACAATTACTTGTAAATGTAATTAAAATAATTACAATTACATGTAATTGCGAATTTTTCCTCTTTTAATTACATGTGATTTGTATTTTGTAATATCTAAATTACTATTGCAAGTAATTGGAAACTCTAATTACAAGTAAAATAAACTTCAATTACAAGTAATTGGTTATTACTCAATTACACATTACAAGTAATTTTAATTGGAAAAACTTCAATAACAATTACATGTAATTGTAATTGGTTATTGCACAATTACACAATTACACATTGCAAGTAATTGTAATTGGCCATGTAATGAACTACTTTGAGTAATCCTGCCTGTTCTTTAAATAATCTTTTTCGTTGTCCTAAGAATATAAAATGAAAATCGATATGAAGGTATATTTTATTCAAAATTACGGAATAAAAACAGAACAAACAGTACAGGTGGGCTTTGTCTAGAGAAGGTTCCTGTCTCGTACTTTTCGAGATTATGAAACTGAAAGGAGTAAACAATATTATCAGTGCGAACTGTGAGACCATACGCCTATTCTACTTAGTGCTAATTTTGGCCGACAGATACATTGATATCAATATGTGAAACAGGACATACATACCTATGTACATAATTTAGGCATGAACAAGTTTCCAGTTCTATCTAAACGAAATTTCAATACAAGTTGGTCAGCCTAAATTGCATTTCTATTACGTTTATATTATCAGTAAATTTTAACATACCGGAAATTGTCACTGTTGCATTGCATATTATTGTTAAAAAGAAAAACAAATGAAAAACCCAAGAAGTAAAAAACAATAAACAAAAGCGCATGTATTACTCTTTTCTCACTCTCAGCTATAAAAATGTAACAATATATGTATATGTTATTTCAAATATTTCAAATTCTGCAGCCTAAAGACTTAGATAGAAAATTTTTTATAAATACCGCTCTTTCTCTTAAGTATTTTGAGTGTATAATATTTATATCTAGATTAGACTCGTTTATAAGTTTAGTGCAAAAAAACGGAATTATTTAAACCATTTGTATGTAAAGAAAATCAACAGCAAAATTTTTTATAAATCTATGTATAAGGATATGTATGCCAGTACGTATGAGTACTTAACCTTTTTCTTTATAACAGTTCTCTACTCATCTTCAGTTGCCGGGTCATTTGTTATTGCACAAAGGGAAAAATAGCAAAAAGGATTTTGTATAAAGTACTGAGTAGTAGTTGTATTTGTTGTTGGTGTAGTAGGTTTGCTTGTACAAGGCCAAACATTATAATCTTTGCATGTCGTCGTCTATGTTGTTGTTGTTGCAGCTGCTTTTGTATTTAGCTTTTTGTTGTTGTTGTTCTTGTTGTTGCTTTGCTTTGAAGTGTGTGTTTGTTTAATGCGTGTTTCGTTTATGTGCGTTGCTTTGTTTATTTGTGTTTTCTTTCATTTGTTTATTTAAAAGTGTGTGTAGGTATGTTTAGATGTATTTACATATGCATAAATACGAGGGTAGTCTGAAACTAAGTTTCAATTGCACAGTTAAACATTTGATTAATACACAGCAGATAGCAAGCTACATTTCGTTTCAAAACAAGCATTGGTCAGTATATATTTCAGAATATCGAAATTCCTTACTACAAAAAAAGTCAAGCAAAATCTACCAATCTTTTTTTATCAGATGTCAAAGATCAAATTAATTTTGATAAAATTTGTAAGCATTGTGCGCACCCTACAAGTATGTCAATATAATTTGATGGATTTTGATACAAACAAACTCTTTTCTTGGTCGAAGAACGAAGTCTATTGAAAATGGTTCAAATCGGTCTATGAATTCACCTATTCTCCATATAACCCCTAATTGGTCTTTTGAGTTCATAGTTATGTACATATGTTCAATGTTCTAGTATCTGTACAAAAATCTCACAACTTAGTTTGATCCTATAGTTAGCCATGCGCGATCATATGATATCTTTTATGACATAAGTTAGTATACATCCAGCCCTCGTATATTTGATATAATGTTTTGTTTTTGTTTATATTTACAAGAGTTTCATGCATGTATTACAACTACTGATAATTGTAAATGTTGCTTTATTCCCTCTTTTATTGTTGTTGTTATCATATAACGTCTAACATTTGTTGCCACTGTTATCAGCATACAAACATCATTATCAGTATTATTTTGCTCATTATTATGAAATAACAACCACAACAATAACACCATCATCATCAAACTTATCTTCATCACCATCATCAACAACAACATCATCATCGTCGCCGCCGTCGTTGTTGTCTTCGTCATTTATATTTGAACACAAGTGTTGTTTGTACAACATTTTTGTTTGTTGCTGTGTAATCTTACGGTATTTGATAGCAACACCTAAAAATGATTGAGAGTAAGAGCA